GCAGCATTCCCTTGTGGGTGGCAAAGAATGGGATCCCCCTGGCTGTTGGCTCTCTTTGGGGTGGTGGTTCCTCAGTGTTTGCACCAGGAGGAGATTGGGTTTAACCATGGGATGAGCTGTTCCATGGGGAATTGAGGCAGATCCCAAAGAGCAAAGGGATCCCTGCTCTCCAAATCCACACGGGCTGTGCTGGTCCTCGGTGGGGATCCATGGGGGATATGGAGCCAGAGTGTCCAGGACACACTTCTGACATCACCAGCTCCTGTCAGCTGTCTGAGGGGTAGAGGAAGTGAGTGTACAGCCATCAGCTGAGCCAGGGCTCCATGGGACCTTCTCCCAAGGGGAATGATTGTCTCCTGAAGGGCTGTAGTGGTACTGACAGTGTTTATGAGGAGATAAATGCTGTGGCCGTGGCAGCTGTGCTGAAACCTGGAGCATCACCTCCACTGTTGTAGGACAGCCCCATCCATCTCCTAATCCAGCACCAAATCCCATTTGCAGACCAGCTGGTAGAACAAATATTCCTGCTGTTCTTGGAGTGCTGGAAAGCAAAGCAGCATTTAGGAATTCAGCAGGAACAAAGGAATATTTTCATTGCTTTCTCTGTCTCTTTTCCAGGTGGATCTTTCCGTCACTTCCTTTGGCAAGTGTGTAAAGAGCTCCAAAGCTCCTCCCTCTCCCTGCTCCTGCTGTGCCCCAGCTCTGCTGTCAATAAGAACAAGGTGTGAGATCCCAGTGCCAAAAATGAGGGATTTTTTTCTCTTTTTGAATGCTGGGTTAGAACAGGGGTGGGACACGTTTGGTCAGAGGTGAGGAGAGAAGCCTCAGATGCACAAAACCAAGCAGGGGACAGCTGGGAGTTGGTGAATCCCATGTTGCACCTCTTGTGTGCAGCAGGTACTTGGAGAAGGAGCCAAGGCAGCAAAATGGAGCAGAGTTAAAACTCCTGAGCAGCATTCAGAGTGAGTGAGGTTCAGTTGTCTGTCCCAAACTGGTGAACTTCCATTAATTTTTATTCTGTGGCCTTACTCCAAGAAATGTCACCAGAAAGGTCTGTCACGTTGCCAGGAGAATAAGATGCTCCATTCATGATATTTAGTGTCTTCATTGGTGCAGTAGGTGGTCTCTAGAAACAAGATAAAGCTGATGGTCCAAAAAATTCTCAGTAATTCTTTCTTGGGAATATTCTTAGGGTAGGAAACAGCTCAGCTCCTTCAGCTTAAGACCAACTGTGTAGCAAACCTGGCTCTGCAAATCCAGGCTTAGAAACATCCCACATCTGAAAGGCTTGGATATCAAACTGATGTAACAAGTGCAGAAAATCCTGAGTGTTGATCAACAGCTTGGCAAAATGGGAAACAACCAAAACGGGGTTGATTGGATCAGGAAGTGATAAGGTGATACCAGTGAGTAAAATACAGGGACTCTGCTGTGCTGGAGCAGATCCTTTGGTATCCAGCTGAACATTTCCTGAGTGGAACAGGCCTGCTAACACCCAGCCCTCAGGCTGTGGGCAGCTGGTCAGTGCTGCCCTGTGTGCCCTGCTTTCTCCACAGGGGAAGTACATCCTGACCCCCAGCCCCATCACCTACGCCGAGGAGCAGCTGTTCCATTTCTTCGGGCAGCTCCTGGGCATCGCCATCCGAGCCGATGTTCCTCTGCCCCTGGACCTCCTGCCCTCCTTCTGGAAGACCCTGGTGGGAGAGCCCCTGGATCCCGACGTGGATCTGCAGGAAGCTGACATCCTCACCTACAACTATGTCAAAAAATTTGAAAATGTAGGTCCTGTTTTCCTCTTCTGTCCTTTTCCTCAGGGTTCCCTCATGGCACGAATGTGCCTGCTCTCATTGGTGGCTGTCAGGTGGTTTTTGTGGAAGCAGGGTTGGGAGATGGGTTGATTCCTCTTGGATGCAGGATTTTACATCCTATTGCCTTGGAGAAGTTTCTCATGCTCCCTTGCTGCCGGGCACAGTGGAATTCTGGCTTCTGGAATTGCTAAGGCAGACCAGAACCCCCAAAGCAGGATTTTGCTGTTGGACACCTGTGACGAGGCAGTGCCCTGCAGGTGACCAGGTCCTTGTCTTTGTTCCGTGACAGATCAGTGACGAGACGGAGCTGGAAGCTCTGTGTGCCGAAATCGCCTCCCAGCACCTGGCCATGGAGAGCCCCGACTGCCCCAACAAACCCTGCTGCAAATTCACCTACCTGAGCCTCACTGGGGAGGAGGTGGAGCTGTGTCCCAGGGGCAGGCACATCCCTGTGGGGTAAGGAGCCGCCTTCCAGGCAGGATGTGGCACAGAATGTCTCTGGAATTGTTCTCCAAGCACAGCCTCTCCAGAGGTGCTTTTGTAACGAGTTGGAATGATCTGGGAAAGCTTTGCTTTGTGAGAAGTCGGCAGAACTTGGGATCAGTGGTGCTGTTTGGCTCTAAGAGACAGAGGAGCAGGGCTGGTCCCAGCTCTGGGGGCTCCCAGTTGTGAGGGAAGGGCAGGTGGGAGGAGAGGATAAAGCGGAGGACAGCGGAATTAACTGGGAAGCATCGGAATGCAAAGTGTGTATTGCCAACTGGATTATTCCAGATCAGGATCTCTCCATAAAACCCTTCCATGTGTAACACAGAGTGGGGCTCAAGGGCTCTCCCAGGTGTTCCTCCCTCACCCAGGTCTCTGCCTCGGCAGGTGGGAGAACAAGGACGTGTACGCGGCCGCCATCCGGAGCCTGCGGATGCGGGAGCTGCAGACCCCGGAGTGCATGACAGCAGTGAGGGCAGGGCTGGGCTCCATCATCCCCCTGCAGCTCCTGACCACACTCACCCCCCTGGAGATGGAGCTGAGGACCTGTGGCCTTCCCTACATCAACCTGGAATTCCTCAAGGTGCTTTGGCTACGCTCCCGTGGGACACAGAGTGGGGGATCCTCCCATGGGAAGGTGGGAGGGGAGAAACTTCAGCTTCTGGTGCAGCCAGGACATCCTTGGGGAACTGCTTGGACACCCCTTTGCCCCCAGGGAAGTTTATTAAGATTTCACTGGATTCAGGAAATAATAGGGTGGGGCTTGTGCAGAAAGGAGTAAGAGTTTGAACTTCCTTTATTCAAAAGTGTAGTGGGGAAGATTCCTGAAGGGAGAGGGGTGAGCAGCAGTGGACATGTCCCTGTCCCCTCAGGCACACACCATGTACCAGGTGGGGCTGATGGAGACCGACCAGCACATCGAGTTCTTCTGGAGCGCCCTGGAGATGTTCACGCAGGAGGAGCTCTGCAAGTTCATCAAGTTTGCCTGTAACCAGGAGAGGATCCCCTTCACCTGCCCCTGCAAGGACGGCGGCCCCGACACCGCCCACGTCCCCCCCTACCCCATGAAAATCGCCCCCCCCGACGGCGCCGCAGGTACGGAACGGCCGCTTCCCAAGGGACAGGAGCTGCTGCTGCTCCCAGCCTTCAGCCCCCCTTTCACTCGTGTCTGAACAGTGACAAAGAGGGACAGGTGGTTACGAGGGTATATCAGGAGAGAATTGGGGTTTAAATGATGTAAAGCTAGAATTTCACATAAAACTTGAACTGCATCCAGTGGAAGGTTCCCTGCCCATGGTGGGAGAGTGGAACTGGATGAGCTTTAAGATCCCTTCCAGGCCAAACTGTTCTGGGATTCCACAGTTAAAACTCTGCTCTGTAGGCATGCACAGAGACTTTGCTATTTGTCTGAAAAGCTTTTAAAATCACTAAACTATTGGAAAAATACTGACACGAGGCCTGATGGGAGGAGCACAGAAACATTTAGGATCCAGAAGACCCAGAACAGGCAGGGATAGGATTTTGGACGCCCTGAGGAAGGGCAGGGTTGGGTTGGGTTTAACCCCTGCCGGTGGCTCTCGCGCAGGTTCCCCGGATTCCCGGTACATCCGAGTGGAGACGTGCATGTTCATGATCAAGCTGCCGCAGTATTCCTCGCTGGACATCATGCTGGAAAAGCTCCGTTACGCCATCCACTACCGGGAGGATCCGCTCAGCGGCTGAGCAGGAGCAGGGAACGCCTGGAGGTGACTCCGTGACTCTGCCCAGTGGAACCCCTTCAGTTCCCATCCAGCACCTCCCGTGGGATGAGCTGGGGGTTAATTTATTTCCTGAACCTTCGTTCCCCATTACAGTAATTCCCAGAAGACTTCCATTTTGTATTTGTAGACTTTGTGGTGGACTGGTTCTTTTGCTGCCTTGTTTGTGGAATATTTGTAGGATAGTTTAGTATAAAGACCGGTTTGTGTATAATTTAATTTGGGGAAAAAACCTTTCCACCTGTACATTTCTAATTTTGTAATCCACAGTGGTCTGCCCTGTGCAAACACCATGGCAGGGAGGGCATTCCAAGGCCGGGAGCCTTCGGAGGGGAAGGCTCATGGATCACTCTCCCCCGAGAGGTTTTTGAGTACAAAAATGCCAAGTTTGGGTGTGGGGAGGGAATCACTGCATGGGCAGGAGCAGAGCACAGGCAGGATTTGTGACACTTGCTTGAGGTTTGAAGCAGGAACTTTGCTGCCAAACTGCTTTTCCACTTTTCCACCACTTTCCTTGAAATTTTTCTAAACTCTGACCAAGCACACAGGGGCTGCCACAGGGAACTGGGGTGTTCAGCTCAACACTTTTGGGAAAATTTCCAATAGAACAGTGAAAGGGTCGTGATTCCATTGGGTTCCCGCCCTAGATGTTCTTGAATGTCTGCTTTGCTTAGCTACAAAATAATTTATTGTAATTAAAATATGAGCAGAACAAAACAGCTTCTCTCCAAAGGGTGTAAAATACCACAGTCCATCCCAGAAATCTGGGACTTTATCCCATCTCCCAGCGAGCTCTCAGAACAACCAGAGGGTGCTCAAACACCTGGAACTTGTTTTTGTACTCAAAAATCTTTGATCCAAGAGCAAATTATCCTAAAAACCTCTGACACCTGGCAGGAGGACGAAGTCACCCGTTGGAAGATAAAGCTCCTGTTCTGTGTGGAAAGCTGGGAGGCAGCTGCGGAGCAGGAACAGCTCCACGTTTCACTGGTGTTCTGTGGAATGTTCCGGATGGTTCAGAGCAGCCCCTCCACAGGCGTCTCATCCCTCACCAGGATTTTTGGGACACTGCAGCTCTGCTGATCCCTCGGATCCTGAGTTCTGAGGAAGAGACCATCCCGGAATCTGTTGGTGCTGTCCGTGAGCCGAGTGCCGGCACGGAGCCGCCCGGCTGAGGTGACCGAACCTTCAGCTCGGTGTCCGTGGGTCTGGAACAGCTCCGGGGATCCCAAATGTATTTATTGTACATTATTGTGAATAGTGGGAACGCTGAGTGCGTGGGAGAGGCGGTGCGAGTTGGGGATGGGTGTCCTTGTTCTTCCTTGAGCGAGTGGGAATGGGAATGTGTGTGCAGCAGTTGTAGGTAGTCGTCGGCATCCGGAGTCTCCCAACCCCGTGGTTAGGAAGCTGTTACCCTCCCAATGCATATTGCCCTGTCCAGGGAACAGATCCATGTAGGAAGAATATTTACTCTTGAATCTCATCCATTTCCTGGTAGAAGCGTTTATGTAGCTCAGAAACCACTCGGAGCAAGCGGGAACGCCTGGAGTTTACAAAGACCAAGGGAAAACAAAGCCGAAGGGGCGGCTTGGAGCCGGTTTGCTCCCAGGCAGGAGAGGCGGGGAGCGCCGGCTGGATGCCGGGGCAGAGCCGTGGCCCCGGGCTGGGCTCTCTGGGCTTCCATCCCGGAATGCCGAGGGGCCATCCCGGAGGGCTCCGTGTGCCAGCGGTTCCCAAGGCTCCAGTTCCAGCTGTGAGTAAGAAACTGCTGCTGCTGTGTGTGTGCTCCTTCGGGAAGCACATCCGAGTGGAGCACACCTGCACCCGGCCCCGGGCGTGTGCTGGAACGTTACTTGATCCGTATTTATTACAGTTAATTATTTATGATTACAAATAACGAACTTCTCGTCGCTGCCATTTGCACCTGGGGGTGTAAATGAAGCTTCTTCTACAGGACAAATGTCGCACCAATAACCAACTTCCATCGACTTCCGTTTGTTCTGGAGAACAGGATGAGCCCCACAAGAGAAATTGTGGGAGATATTTGGTTTTGGTTTTTTTTTTTAATTCCATGCTCCTGGGAAGGAAGTGCTGCAGCACCTCAGCTGTGGCTCAAATGGCCTTTTGATTAAAGCTTTTCTAATCATCCTTAATTCCTCGTGCTTTAAATGAACTTGACATTGTCTGTACTAGGCTTGTTTGTCGAAGCAAAGATTGGTTTGTGATGATTATTATTATTTTTTTTAATATATATTCATTCAGAATGTAAAATTATACTAAACAATGGAAAAACTCTGGAGCTGGGTATTAGTTCTAGCTTGGTGTGTGTCCATCTCGGTTCCATACACGGCATTAACCTGTAAGTGCTCTTGGCCATCGAGTGTACACCTGCATAAAGGAGATTCTTAACATCCCTGGAGGTGTTCGTGTCCTTCTTTGGGGCTGCAGGGAATAATGGGATTTGCTGCTGGAGCTGCCCGAGGCAGGGGAGAAAGGGAGAGAAAGGGAGCTGCAGCTTCTCTGTTGGAATCCCACTTCTCTGGGTTTTGTGTTCCTGGGAACACAACCTCAGGATTTTGTACCAAAGGGCAGCTGAGGTTGTCCCTCTGGGATATTCCTTGTGCCCGAGGCACAGCACAGGCTCTGCCACTTCAGTTGTTAATTATTTGTCATACTTACTGATTCCTGACCCCCAGGCCCCTGTTATCCATCCCAAACCTCAGGGACCAGCTCCCATTCCCTGATCTTCCCACAGCCCTTGTCCCCAGGAATGGGAAGAACAGAGGTTTGGTGTCCCCCCATTTTTAAATACTTTTATTCTTGTCTAAATAAACACATTTGGTGGGAGCATCTGTAAAATGTCTTTATTTTAGGAGGAAGTTCCCTCCAGCCTGGCTGTTCCAGTGGGCTGGAGTTGGCACCTGAGACAAGGTCCTGGTAACAATCCTGCCCCAGGGGTGGCCAATTAGCCCTGCCAGTGCCATCTGCTGCACCTCCTTAATTAGGCTGATGCTCTTGGAATTATCCAGAATCTGCTCCACTTCCCAAAGTCCCAGGGATTCCAACAGGGAATAACAGCAGGAATGGATCCTCAGCCAGGGGTTATGGTCCTGTGTCACCCCAGGGGACAGATGGCACTGCACAACGGTTTGGGACAGCATCAGAGAAATTTTATTCCAAGGAACTTAAAAAGCTTTAATTTGAAAATGCAGCACTGAGAAGCCTTGGAGCCCCAACCCTGAACCCTGCTCTGCATGGGACAGGTCACGAGCACTGACTGCTCCCTGTTGGTGTCACCAGCTGTCCCTGAGTATTCCAGGGCAGGACACACCCAGAGCTCGGGGTGGCACAAATCCCATCCCAGGGTGACACAAGGAGCCCACATGGACACACAACTCAGGTGGGGCCCAAGGTGAGACTCGATGCCTTGGGGGTGGTGCTTGAGGCGGTCAGAGACATAAAAACCTGAAGTTTGCTCTCACAGATTAAAAATAGAGATTTAGAAAATCATCACTGCCTAAAAATTGAAGCTCAGTGTCAGAATTTACTTGCACTTGGACCAACGAGTCCGGCAGAGCCTGGGGGCAGGGCTGGGTGCTCCATGTTTTCCACAGGCACTGGCTCACTCCTCCGGGTGTCCGGCTGCTGGGTCCTGGTCTTTTGCCTTATGGGAGGGGGAAAAGAAAAATGTTGTTTTCAAATATGACTTAATAAGGGAGGGCTGTAAAAAGCATCTCCTTGTCCTGGCAAACCATCAGGAGCTGCCCTGCAGCCTCACCTTGGAGCTCCGGCGCCGGAGGCCGCCGCGCCCGTCCGACAGCCCCAGGCTCCTTCCTGCCGCGGCGCTGGAGCTGCGGGACAGGGACAGGGACACCTTCAGAGGAGGCAAAGCCACCCGTGCTGCACAAACACAGGACAGCCCAGCACGCACAGGGGAGGGCCAGGGAGAGGCCCTTGAGTCTCCTCTGACTTTGGCCCAGATGTTTCAGCAGCTGAACCAGCTCCTGTTCAGAGCCCAGGTGAGAGCAGAGCACTCCCATGGACAGGTAATGAGGCCTTAGCCTACATTTTATCCCAGTGACCAGTGGGTCTGTTCTATTTTGAGGCAAAAACCTAAATTTGTTGTTTGAAACTCAGATAAGCACCAGCCAAATTCAACTGAGTGAATCTGAAAGCCTTTGAAAACCCCTTCAGGCACAGGCAAAGTCAGGAGGATCCAGATTTGCACCATAAGAAGGAGAATGGCAAAGGCATTACCTTGACTGGGCTGCAGAAGCTCTGGAGGAGCTGGAAGTGAAGGTTTCTGCCTGGAAGTGCTGAGCAAGCTTTGCCCGGGGTGCTGTCCCAGCTGCAGTGTCACCTCTGTCCTTCCACGTCCCCTCGCTGCCACTCCCCTTCCCGGGCTTGCCCCGCGTGGCCGGAGCGTCACCGGCTCTCCCTGGAGGGGACAACGCCGCATTCCCAGCCTTGGCCACCTCCGTCCTCAGCCTGGTCCCTGCAGCAGGGCACAGCCCCAGCTTCCCAGAGCCTTCTGCGTGCCAGGGAGAAACATCTCCTGCAGGGACAGGACGTGGAGCTGAACAGGAACAGTAACTTCAACATCAGGAACAACCCAGTGCTCACCCCAAGGACACAGCCCCAGCGATTTCATCCTCCCTCCCTGAACCCAGACCAAGAGCCCAGGATGAAGATTTTTGAGAGGGAACAGGGAAGCAGCATCTCCTCAGTGCAAGCACCGGGGAGCTCAGGCTGAGCCCTGCCCTCACCTTGGTGCCGGATCCGTCGCCGAGCCGGCTCTGGCGATTCCCCGCGGGGCTGAGCCGGCAGCTCCCGAGCTGGAACCTCACCTGTGGGGCTGGCAGGGCGCAGGTCACAGTGGTGCTGCAGCAGAACACACAGTGCTGGTCAAGTGAAGCTCAGTCAGTGAAAATTCCTGGGAAAACACTGCGGAGCAGCAGCTCTTGGAGACGTTAAGGTGAGTAGGGAATTGTGGAATCCCAAAATGGTTTAGAGATCTTAAAGTTCATCCAGTTCCATCCGCCTGTCAGGCTGGACTGGGCTTGGAGAACCCTGGTTACTGGAAGGTGTCCCTGCCCATGGCAGGGGGTGGAATGGGATGGGCTTCAACATCCCTTCCAACTCAAACCACTCTGGGGTTCTGTGATGAGCTCTGAAGTTTTATCAGATCTCATTTCCAGAACAGATTTTGCTGTCCCACAGGAGGGAGAGACCCAGAACAACCAACCCAACCCCAGCTTCAGCAGGGACTAGGAATGTGAATGCACCATGACACGGAGGATGGGTGAGCTCAGCATTCTCCCATCGTGTCTGGAGCGGCAGCAGATTCCAGAGGACTCTTCCCTGGGCACGCCACTCCCAGGGCTGCAGTCTGTTCTGTACTTCCCCTCCCACCCAGTTTTATCCTTGTGCTCCTCTCTCCCTTCTGCTGACTCATCCAGGGCTCACTTCACTTTCTGTGTGATTCAAACATTCTGATTGTGCAACTCCAGGCCCTTTTGTTCAGTTTCATTACAGGAGCTTTCAAATTAATCCAATACTTTTCAACAGGAGCCTCAGTGTAGCACAACCCTTCACACAGATCCCAGAGCTTTGTGTGGGAAGATCTGAGCCAGGGGCAACTCCCTGAACTCCTGGAATGTGCCACAAGAGCCCCTGGGACTGGGCCCATCCTTGAACAATGGGTTGTGACCAACAGAACCAGTCCTGTTCAGTACCTGGTGATGAAAGAGGATCTCCTCTTCCAGCTGGATGCCACAGAATTCACATGGAATCATGATGTCTCCTTCTGCCTGGACAGCTTGGGGCTGGGATGAAGGGGCAGTCCTGTGGCTGTTGGACCCCCCAGCTCGCAGACCACTGCATTCCCATGGATTTGGAGAAGAACTTCTCTTACTGAACGAGGCAAAGGCACTTGCTGGGTTACACCCTGTCTGTTACACAAACAACACAGAAAAATCACCTTTCCTGATGAGCCAGGTGGGCACTGAAAACCACTTTCCTTAGCAAAGACCCAAATGCCAGACGTCTCAGTGACAGCCACAGAAAAGCCTTCACTGCAAACCCCAAGACACGAGGAAGTCTCAAACCTGGTGAAGGATCAGATCTTCAGCAGGACACAGTTCCTCACAGAACTCGCAGGGCAACATGATCATCTCCTTGTCTGCAAGAGAAGGAAGGGTCCTGTCCTCTGTGGGCTCTGGTAAAAACCTCCTGCTGCATCATTGAACCCTGTGGTGCCATTTCTCCTCTCACAACAAGCTGCACTCCAGGATTCCCCCAGATCCTCCTTCCCACCATTCTTACTTCCACAAAAACCTTGTTCCCTGCCCCTCAGATTTAAGGATAAACCCCACCACAATCGTGTTTATACCTATTTTGCTGTGGTTTGATGTGCTAAAGGACCCTGGAGAGTCACAGGACAAGATGTTGGACAGGTCTGTTCCATCAAGATGGGCAGATTGTCCAGGCTCTTTGGTGTAGTCGTATTCCCAGAAATCCCTGGGAATGTCAGCTGCAGTATCATGGTGAGGATTATTCTCACTTTCCAGGCTGAGAGCCAAGACATAGTCCAGGTCAGCATTCCAGTCTTCAGGAAGTTGGGAATTAAGGATTTCAGGTCTCTCTTGTTCATCTCCTACGAAATACAAATACTGTAAATTCGGGAGAACATCAAATCAGCCACCAACAGCTCCCCCTGGACATCAGACTCAGCCCCAGAGTTTCCCTGGAGTTCAGCATCTCAAAGCCAAGGGCACCTCCAACAAATCCAGGAGGATGGAGAAAAACCCAAATTTTAGCCCAAATTACAGGGAGCAAACAACTCCAGTTTAATTTTTAAGCCAGGTACTTTGAGACAAAAAAAAAAAAAAAAAAGAAGCAACTGGGCTTTTATCCCAGGCACCTCAT